ACAGAGAGCCTGTTCACAGGCTAAGGGTACCAGGGCCTCCTATTCCGAGACTTCTTGTGCATTTTTTTTTTAGGTTTTTTTTTCAATCCGACCGGCCGACCCAATATCAGGAAATGCATTCGATGCTAAGGGAAAAAAAAGGGGGATGGCCTTACCATTTTTAATATGCCGCAATTAGCACCCAGGAAGTGGGGATGCTAATTCAAGCATTTATAGTATTCATTAATTTCAGCAGTCAGTTAGTATACTATGGACAGTAGCTGTCAGGCGAGTTAACACATAAAACAAATCAACTGATCAAGACAGTTCCTCTGGGTCCATTGCAAAACAGTCATTTTGTCTCAATACCGATATTTCGTGGAATAGTCTTTAGGTGACACCACCAAACCTCTCCCTTTCCTCGCTCCACGATAAACAGTTTCTATAATATCGATCATTTCCTGCTTGTCCTCTAAGGCCCAGTTTATCTTATTGTTGTTTCCTGTGCCTAAATCGATCATGATGTGTTTGTTTCGGTAGAAGAACATGGTCGTGCAGGGGTCGTACAATTCATACATTTTGTTGAAGTCATTCACTTCTGTAACGTCGACCAGGTAGATCGTCGCAAAGTTTTTCACTTTATCTGCAATCGAGTACAAGACTTCATCCATTTTCATGCACGTAGGGTCCCAATCATGCCCAAAACGGATTACAACAACCCTGTCCTCTTCAGACATGATGGCTTGATCGACCTGCCAGCCGTTGTTTAGATGTTGGAGCATGTACGACATTTCGAAAGCTTTTCTTTACGTAGAAGTGACAGCAGATTATCTGAAAAATGTCCTAGGCTTCTATTTGTGTACTTTCTGGTGAAATAAGGTCGATTTTCCTTGAAAAATTTATCGTTTATGCACCGACTCAACGTAAAGTGAACGTTGTTGTAATGGCGGCGGAAGCCGGCAGTCCCATCATGCAATTGTATCATGATAGTTCCAGTCTCTTCTCAGCACTGGTTGTGGAGCGGAGTTGGCGGGGAGGCGGGGTGGTGGGGAAGTGGGGTGCGTGCAGGGGGTACAGTGTCTTGCCCACACGCGGAAAAGGAGACGTCTTTTTCTAAAGAAACTGTAAAGCCATTGGAGTTCCGCTAAAAGAAACAATCAAAAAGCCTTCATTACTGAAGATGAAGTGAAGCAGAAATCATTGATTCAATACCCTCGAAGCATATATTATATTCTTCTGCACCCACGGAGAGAAAAACCTCGCGGAAGTGGTACATGGAGCCTAAGCAAGGCCGATCCTCTAAAAACAAAGCAGCAAGAGTATGTCCTTGAGGCCTAGCTGTTTTGATCTAACCACGGGTATACAGTGGACATTCGAAGTCTAAAGTTGATGTGTTCGGACGGCAAGGCAGTCCGAGTCCAAAAAGTGAAGAGATGGTGTCCATTTCGGCTTCAAAGAAAATGTAAAGGTCTAGTAAAATTTTATAGCAAAGTAAATAAAGTTACATGTAATTGTAAATTTATACAGGAGGCCATGGCTAATAACAAGGCTTAAAAAAAACAACAACAAACAATGCCGTATAAAACTCGCTCTCTGCTGCACAAAAACGCCTTCACTATCCGGTCCGATCCGGTACATACTGTTATCGAAAGGTGCAACCTCGTTCCCAGAGTTCTCTCCACCTGGAGAGAGAGCCTGAGAAGAAGGTGGCAGAAGGAAAAAAAAACAGTTTATTGTTTATTTTGACCTTCTGTCACGTACTCATGGGAATCCCCTTTGAAAAAAAAAAAAAACATGCACAGACATACTTAGTGCTGTGTATTGAATTACCGGTACATGTAGTTTTTTTAAAAATTGCTGTGACAGATAGAGGAAGTGTTTAAACGAGGGCACTTGTAATCTGGGTTAATCTGTCTTAACTTGTCAATGTCTACAATTGCTTTTCTCGTGCATGCACAGAAACAAGTTTCGCAATTTCGTGGTTAATCTGTCTTAACAATTGCTTTTCTCGTGCATGCACAGATACAAGTTTCGCAATTTCGTATGTAATTCTTATAGAAAGCAAGAACTTATAGAGCGTCATCCCGAGCATAGCCGGACATCTATTAGTTTTTCCGAAAACTACACGGAAGGTAATAATTTCGCTTCGACTTGCTCGGTCTTGGGACTTGACCCCTTTAATCATGTTTATACTTTTTTGATACATAATGTTAACAAATCGTACCTTTCTAAAAGATGATGTTGCTTGTTTTATTCATTCATTTAGGAGCATTTAATACTGACTTTTGGAATTTTAACTGACTCAGTCGTTTTGCTCTGTTAACTGTCACATGGTTTTACGTCATTTACACACTATATTCCCTAGATTGTAAGATAACATGACCTCAGTGATCACGATTTTATTTTTCATCACGTTTCAACGGATGAAACAGGTTCAGTACCAATATTCTTACCACTTATGTATCTCAAAAACAACCTCTAATCAGAGTATCTTCCTCTTTATAAGCACCCTGTTGCGCTGATACGGCTATTTTAGGGCCCGATTTTAAACCCTTTTACAACTTCCCAGAGAGCCCAAGAGCACGTTTCATCCAACTACCCGGTAAAAGGTCATAATACAAAAATAGAGGCCTTAAAATACATGCACTTTTTCTTTCTACGGGAATCACGGAGTAGGGGAAAGTGTTTGCCACGTAGTTATATTTAAGACAACCATGATATTGCAGACCTAATAATGCCATATCATCGTTCTACCTAGCAGCCGGGCTAGCCGTTTTTTCCGGGTTAAGAGGCAATCTACCCGTATTTTTGGCTACGGAAACAGGTAAATGCGCACGGAAACGGTGTGGCTTAGTCATCAATACCACCTTGTCCCCAGGCCCCAGTCGGTTCAAAACCTGGATCGGTAAAATCACTATCCTGCGGATAAGTATTAAGGAAGCCAATTGCACTATCTACTAAAACTGAGTAGTTTAGGCCAGGCTCCCGTTGTTCAAAAGGTGGATGACGTTATCCACCGGATAAATCTCTATCCAGTGGATATAGCACGATTGGTTTCCCAAATGGTGGATAGCGCTATCCATCTTTTCAACATCGCGGGCCAGGACCTTTCCCATGCTTTCTTAAGGGAAATTCCTTGGGGATGAGGTTGCTCCAAATCCTGTTCGTACCTGAAGCACTGGGCCCAGTTGCTCAAATGCTGGATAGCGCTATTCATCGGATAAATCTAAAGTATTAGGGAAACCACTTATGTTCTCCACTAGATATAGATTTATTCAGTGGATAGAGTTATCCACCTTTGGACAACTGGGGCCTGAATTTCAATTTTTCATGGCGCCCTCTTGTAAATTGTTGGTTCTTCCGCAGTCAATTTTCCCCCTTGAGCGGATAAGTGGTGGTGCGCGCCGGAAGCGAGAAGTCTTGCCCCCCGTCGCTCGCGTTGGACGCGCGATACCCAAACCTCGTTCCAAGGGTCCTCTTTGACTGGTCACTCGGAGCGAGAGAAGAGTAATGAGAACCTTGGTAATGCGGCTGATGATATTCAACTACCTTCGAATAAAATAAGCAACAATCTTGGGCAAAATAGACGGAAAATTCACACCCTGCTTCCCCCCAAAGGCAAGGATAGGAAAGTGGCGCGTTTCATCTTTCGCGCGCGCGGCTTTTTCCTTGATTTAGGGGAGACGGGGATTTGCTGTTCCTATCCAGGATTGTAGCTACACGCAGCATAGCTAATATAACTTCAAATGCATTGTATAATATATCATGAATTCATTGAACTGATTAAAACTTCGGATTTTACCCATACCAAACTATTTCAGCATTGACTCTGGGAGTGAAAGAGTGCTAATCTTCTACAAGAACAAAACCTTCTGCCCAGGTTTTCTCCGAGTGAAACGATCTTGGCAGAAGTATTAAGTTGTTGCGTTTAAAATACTGGTTTTTAAAATCTAACATCCTACAAATACGTTAAGCCTTCACAAAAAAGAAAAATTTGCGTACAGGTACACGCTAAAAAAGAAAATTTAAGGTCAAAATAATACACATTGTTTGTTTTATATTCAGAAGCGTCCTTCAATGCTAAAGCCACGGTGCAACCCTGATATAACGGTCATATAAATTCAATTAACGACAAAACAAAAATAAATGGACTCGCGCGTCTAGTGCAGTTTAAAGCAGTGGGAAACGTACGGTGTATGGTGTCTAGCAAACGAAGAGCCGCGAGGAACATACCAGGAGATATCTAATTGTATTTAACGACTGCTAAATGCCAGTGATTTTTTGAGTTAAAAAACAGGGCAGTTTCCGATGGTTAGTTACTGAGGTAATGCAACAGGTTCCATGAGAGGAAAAAAAGTACGAGGTGATTGGTTACGCTTTGTGTTTTTCTTCTTTTCTAATTAGTTGGAAAACGTCTATTTTTTCCGATAGGAACACACTATACACACGAAGATGAGCTCAAACCTAAAGCAGAAGACTGGAGGTGGTTCCTATCGAAAGTTTTGTGTCACGTGACTCTGTCAACTTGACACCTAATCTACCGAAATACTAGGTTTAGGAATTAATAGAAAAGGCAATGTTTTTCCCTAAATGGGCAAACTAAAAATATATTTTGGGCCACGTATTTCGTGATTTTGCCTAGATGTGGGCTGACTTGCTGTGGTTCTGTTGGCGCATAGTTGGTAAAGAGATACCGCTGGCTCATTACATCAGAGTTGCATGGTGTAAATAGGCCATTTTTACGACGACGTCATTGAATACAACAACCCAACTACCAGAATAGGCTATTTTCCGAGTTGCCCTAGGCCTCTGTTACAAAACGAGGCTGAGTGTAAAGCCATTGATAAGAAAATGATCCTTTATTTTCTAGACTGCGAGCGGTCTCTCTTTTTCTTCAGATTTAGTAAGGGGAGTGCACGCGCGCGCGAGCGTTCAGCGGCGAAGCCGCGAGACGTGAGAAACGAGAACGGCAGCCCGTGCCTCTCCTGTCTCGCGCCTTCAGTCACGCGCGTGGTCACTTGCGTGTCTCGGGCGTTTTGCTCGACGGACCAAGAAAAAAGAGAGACTGCTCGTACTCTATTTATTCTCATGCAAATATGACTCATTTTCACAAGAAAGGTTTTGCACAAAGCCTCGTTTTTGAAATTAAAAGTTTTCGCCCATTTATTTCGATTTTGTTTGTTTTATCTAATTTATGAATCCTAGTGGATTTATAAAGACAATTTATAAAGCAATAAAGTAATAGGATTCTGGTCGAAAGAAGCCATCGTGCAAATGCCCTATTGAGAACTGTACCTAACTGTACATAAACTTAGACTAAAATCAAGAGGTTGGCTCCTCTTTGATTTCTATGGATAAGGAGGGTCTGTTTTTGAAATTAAAACCATGGCGTTCTCTACTCAGAAGTTTAGATCGCAAGTCCAAAGTTGGCTGTGGTTTGATTTCCTCTTTTTTCTCTTCCTTTCTTTCAATTCTTCCCTTCCATTTATCTCTTCTTTCTCTTCTGTCATCATCATCACTCTCACTGTCATCCTCTTCCACCGTATCCGCGTACATACGCATGCGCAGATTTGGAGAATCGCTTCTCTCGGGCGCCTCTGTGGGTCCGTCGTTTGTTACTACAATCTTGAGGGGCGGTTCATCTATTTCCATTTTTTCCTCCTGCTCTTGCTCGATTTTCTCAAGAAACTGTACCTCAGGGCCGCTGTCGAACATGTGCTTTGCTCGTTCTCTTTCTTTCTGTATTTTCCTCTTCCTGTTCCAATCATGAGAAAACAAACGATGAACTTAGGAACAGTGCATAAGACAATCTTGGACAAAATAAATAGAGAACTTAGAACCCGCCTCCCACCTCCCCAAATCAAGGAAGGGAAATCTTGGCGTTTTGGCTTTCGCACCGGCGGCTTCAGTCCAGAATTAGTAGTCGCTTATGAAAGTCGAACCAGGGGCTCTCTTCTAGAAACAGGTACAACCTCGTTCCCAGGTTCCTGTCCTACTCGGCGGCTGGGGGGAATGAGTAGAAGGGGGCCCTAGGAACGAGGTTGAAACAGGTGTGACACATCTTCAAATTGGAATGAGGAAAAAGTAATAGCACACAATTTCTTAATGGCAAAGCAAAAAGTAACGGTATGTTGCTTAACCATTTCAACTCTAACATCAAAATTTAAATTCTCATCTGTTGCTTTGTTGCCTCTTTAAGCCTCCTGAGTAGTTTTAAAATAACCTTTAGTTGCTGTAAATCCTTTGCATAATTTTTCCGCATTATATTATATATACTAAAATGTACATAAAAGAATTAAAATTTAATACTCCCTACACATAAATTGACTGGCCCGCCAAGATTAGCTCTAGCTACCCGTGGGCCAGTGTACTTTTGTAAAACATAATAATAAGAAAAATAAAATCAATTAATCGTGCCCTTAATTCCCATGCTGGCCACTCTGTTTCATAAAGCACTGATATTACAAGGAGAAATTTGATGCCAACTGACTCAAGGGCTTTACCCTTTTCCCTCTTACAGTATGAGGTGCAAAGTAAAGTACCTCGAATTTAGAGATCAGATTATACATCAATGAAAAATTTTAAAACTGCTACTCCCAAATGTGGCACAAGAGTTAGAAATTTATAAGACGTTTGCCTTTGACTTGAAAAATATTTGCTGTTTTGTATTAATGGTCGTTTTATGGGAGGTGGTTGTACATGATGGGTCCATTTATTTTACTAAAGGGACAATAGCTGAGAACTAAAATTTTGTGAAAATGGACAAAATTTTTTTACTCTTAAAATTCAGTAACAACAATGTCCCTAAATCATGCATTACCTCGATGAGCTGACAAGACCTTTCTTAAAACCTGAAAAAAGAAAAAAAAAAGAAAAGTAACAGTGATGATATCCATGCAAAGATTTGGGCCTTGTCATTCTTTCGAAAACAATTTTCCCTTAACCCAGCTAGCACAGGCTTCTTTTCCCTGGTATTCAAATACCACGGAAAAGACGTCTCTGCTAGCAGGGAATTTTCCCTTTCGGTCTCCCTTTAGAACACCTACCACATGAACTAGCAATTTTCTTGAGACAATCACCAACCTGTGTTACTTTTTGAGTTTGGATTTCCATGAATCAAATAATACAAACTTCTTTGTGCTGCTCCTGGTTTCTTTTTATCCTCTGGAATTAAATAATAACTTTTATCAGCAAAATATATGAATATTACTTGTAAATTAAATGGAAAATGACCAATAGATATAATTAATATACTCAGTTGAGTCTTTGTGGTTCTAAAATTCAACCCCAGCACTCAGACAACAAGACAAGGATAAATTTATGATGAACACAAAGCACTTATCTACCTAAGGGCTATAATGTGGATATCAAGAGGTGCTGGTAAGAGAACTATAAAGTAATAAATATTATTTTTAAGGTGAGCTAGTATTATAAAATCAAAATGTGACTGATTAAAACAAGTACAGCTGAACTTTAAGTACTTACCATAGAATATATAAGAGAATTCTTGTCATTTTAATACAGAATTTAGGTTAGGTTTTCAAAGTTCTCAAATTCTTTCTCAATATAGAAACAACTGACCAATATAAACTTCTCAAAATTAAACAAAAACGAACATGAATATGATACAGGTCAATACAAAATTCAGATTAACCCAGATTGATTCTCAATTCTTTTGTCTCCTAGCCCTAATACTATTTTCTTGATCGTGTATGTTGGGGCTAAGATACAATGGAATTGAGAATAACCTATGTTGAAAATTTTCAACCTGAATAAGATTTTGACCTAAATCAAATATACCTAAGCATGATACTTACTTTTGGTAGCTAATCGCATGAGAAGACATTTTGCTTTTGGATGAGTTGGTCCTAATTTCCATCTGATTTCTGCAGCATCACTTATATCATCACCTGTCATCATTAAGTTGTTAATGAGTAAGTGGTCTGTGGTCAATCGGTGGATGAAAATAATAATCAATTATAGCTCCTTTTCTTTACTGCTTAACAGAAAAAATAACCACTCTGTTATATGAAACTTGTTAAATAGCCATGAAAGGAGCTGTTGGAAGGAGTCTACAGTCTAAAGATTTACTGATTTTAGTGTAAGTTCTGTTTGTATCCAAAGCACGATAAGACTGAAGTAGGCCGATTTGTCTTTTACAGTCAAGCCAGGTAAATCCTATCCCCATCTAGATCCTACTAGTGGATTCATTATCATTTATGAAAATTGAACCTGTTAGTCATTGTCAATACCAAATACATTTCCTTACTACTGCTCTTTTCACAAACATGCGAACTCTAAAGTTCAAAAGACGCCTTCACAATTGTGTTTTTCGCTGCCGTCAATCATAATTATGATCACTAGCAACGAACCTTGAAACACAGAAACACACAAAACGGATCGAAATCCACCAATCACAAATCACAAACCATGATCTTTTGAACCCGTTAAAGTAAAGTTTTGTTTCCTATGAGGTCCGTTAAGATGATTGATGGCAGCGAAAAACGCAGTCGTCAGTTGGCCTTTGAACTTCAGAATTCGCATGTTTGTGAAAAGTGCAGTAAGGTATGCAGTGGAACCTCTCCTTTGGGACACCACTATTAAGGGGAAAGGGACACTATTTCTGGGTCATAAAATCCAGATTTAACCTCCACTCAGGGAGGAGGGGGACACCTTAGCACTCAAAAAGTGACTGACCACAAAAATCATTGATAATTTTAAGTGTTCACTACCCATAGTGGCGGCAGCTTTCAAAACATGAGTTATATCACTCACATCTATGTACTTCACTTATGGGAATTCAACACATAACATCACAGAGATAAGACAGTTAATCAACATTTTTTAAACATTATCTAGCTGCTTAAAATAGTGTTTTCAGTAGATTCTGAGGCAAAATATAAGAGAAATTACATTTTATTTGTTGGTTAATTATTAACAAACTCCAGCTCATATTCCATTCAGGGGACACCTCTATTCCGGGGACACTTGCCTTGTTCCAGAGGGTGTCCCCTGAACAGAGGTTCCACGGCATTTAATAGGGGGTGAATACGCACATAAGAGGTAGTTAACACTAACTGTCAGCTGGGCTTTCTTGTGGACCTTAATATAAAATGTCTCCAAAAGATTTTTTACCATTTCAAAGTGTGCAAGATTTTTCAAACCGACCAAATAGAGAGAAGATGAAGTAAGTCTAAAATTCACTGTTCATCACCCATAGAGGAATATTCAAATATTTTTTTATACCAATAACAACAATGTCTGACAGATTCAGCTTTCAAATAATCAGTCCATTATAGCATCTATGGTGGAAGGGTTTGGCCTGGTCTGACTGTAATTCGGTATTCTCAACTCACTTGTGTCATTTTTCCCTTCTAGTTCTTTTCCTGTTGCCATGAGAACTCTGGATGCAGTGAAGTCATCATCCCATACAACATTACCTACAACAGAATTTACAATATTTTATGACAGTAGAACCCTGGTAACTCAAACTCTGAAGGGAAACAAAAAACACTTCGAGTTAGCAGGGAATTCGAGTTATCAGGGGAAGTTTCAGTGAAATTTTGATCAAGGGAAAGGAAATTTAGTTCAAGTTAGCTGGGAATTCTAGTTATCGAGGTTCTACGGTATTCATATCTGTGATAACTAGAGACTGATGAGAAAGAAGCGGTGTTTATCATATTGACAGTGCAGGACAATGAGACAACCCATACTGCACTTACATGAAGAGTCATCAATCCACTCCACTGAGCCAGGGGCAAAATCATTAAAATATGCAAAGATATCTTTGGTACTCATTTCATCAACACCATGAATTAGAATTGCATCAAGCCTTGCTTCACCTGAAACACCAAACAAAAAATAATCATGTACACCTACTGTTACTATAACCATTGAAACTTCCCTCATTTTTAATATCGCTCAAAATGGTTTCTAACACTTTTCAGCACAATGTTCATAATAATACAGTACACATAGCAAAGATGATCTTAGACTTTCATCTGTGAAGCAAATCATTGAGGAAAGCAAAGAAAGTACTGTTACAATGCTATTCATGGTTGGTTTTATTTTTGTTTACTTTGAGAACCACAATACTAAATATAACTAGTAATAACCAGAGGTTACGAAGTGCGTGGACGACAACGATCAAAGGTGTTTACTTAAGTTTCACGTGATAGATAATCACGTGAAATGGATGTAGATTTTTGAAGCCCTTTTTATCACTGTAAGAGTATTTTGTCCTTCTCATAATTCAGAGTCCAGCCTCTTGTTCTGTGATTTTTTGTAGTATTGTCATGGATTATTAATAACGTTTTAGAACAGGACCTCTCAGTACATGACCTGTTGGTGAGAGAGCTTTCCTACTTAAACAAATATTTTTAACATGACTAATTATTACCGTTATTATTATTATTATTATTATTATTACTTTGTTGACTCAGACCTACAGATCGATAATATTAGAGCCTGTCCGAATTAATCTTTTTAAGGATATTTTTTTAAAGAATTAGGAATTTAGGAATACAAGATTTTATTCTTTTTAACTTGTTTTCTTTTTAACATCAGAGACAAACAATTCTCTTTTGTAATAACTTAATTTAAAACTTTAGACTGCCTGCAAGAGTCATTGACCGCATCTGAGCTGCAAGGAATGTATTTGCGAAATCGTTTTTGACACAGTGATTGCTATTTTTATGATTTATATAATTCTTAATGTTACATAGTGCTTAATTCAAATATTTCTGTAAATTATGTACATTTTTTTTTTAAAGTTCAATAAAATTATTATATTATTATTAAATTATTTTTATTACTATTAAACAGACCAATAACAACCCCCTTTGATTGGTCCTACAATAATGGTAAGTTGACTTGGTTCTCTCATGAGCAAGACCCTGAGGCTAAGAGGCCAGTGTGTTGGACCTTAGGTCCGTCACTGATTCAGTTAAGTCCAGGATAGGAAAAGATAAGTAGTGACAAACTCTCAGTGTCCTGTTGGATAAAAAAGAAGGTCTAATACACAAGTTACAAATTACCTTCAGGAATAGCTGGTAAGTCTTTCACATCAATGGAGGGCAACCTGTAAACATAAACAAATATAATCCAATTTACAAGAAAAGCACAATGCTCTTTAATCTATGAGCTCAGTATCACTGGAGCATAATATTGTTAGCTATACTCAATTCAAGCATCATCAAACCATCTTTTTTTGGTGGCTGATGATTAATGTCTGGCAGCTCCACTTTATAACACTAAAATTAAGGTGACTTTGAAAGACATTGAGCTTGAAGCTCTGACAATCAACATGGATTGCATTCAGGTTAAACTTAAAAAACAGCGACAAGTTTTTTTTAAAGTTTGCCTGAAGTTATATGAAGGTGTGACTTAGCATGCTCAGGAATAATCTACAAAAGGTGATGATTTATCAATAAAACATATTCCTTTTACCAGTCTTTAGATCAAAGTTAACAATTGAAAAAAATTATAGGCAATATAAATGAAAATACTATGACTTAGCCCATTTTAAAAGCAGATGTTTTATGAAGGATGAAGCTCAATAATTTATCATTTTTCTCTTTGGCACATACTCAGTATTGGTTTCCTGATCAGAACTTTCCTCTGTTTTTTTAACATCTTTGTTTTTCTGTTGGAGTCCAAATCTTTTTGCCCTTCTAGCTTTTCTCTCACGAGCCTCCTAGCAGAATGAAAACACAAACCATATTATTATTACACAAAATTAACCATGATCCACCTTTTAAGGAAAGGGGCCCTGTAGGACAAAATCACAAGTAAGGTCTTATCATTCGTGGGGACGTCTGCTACTCCTTTGTTGCAAGCGGAAAAGTTGAGGTCTACACTTTCACAGCATCTACAGGGTACAAGACTCACAGCCTTTCAAACATTTCCTGGACCTTTAAAGAGCTTAGGATCTTTCCTTTTCACTCTTGTACATTTGCAATTTCTATTCAAGACTTGATGTCTTGATTCTATGACTTGCAATCAGTTTTTAGCCCCCACACATTCCATGCAGCTAACAATATGGAAACATGGCAGGGGAAATATGTTTTAAAATGCAGACCCTTTGACTTCTCAGTGGGGCACCCCGTGTACATGTTACTCTCTTCAAAGAGACCCTTCTACCTTCCTAGACATGTCATAGAAAGATCATTAGTAAAATCCCACTAGTGGTCTATTATCAGTGCTACGTTCCGATTGGTTGAGCTACTACTAAGCTATATGTTATAGCCTACTAGTAGCGAAAAGCGTGGGCTTTTTGGCGGCAAAAAAGGATTAAAGTCTAGCTTTAACTAGCTAAAATTTTTTTACTCTCGATATTTTTGACCAACTAGTTGGATTTTACTAAAGCAATTATTCCTCTCGCCCCTCATGGCCTCTGAGTCAATAGCCCATTCGGCCTTCAGTCTCATGGGCTATTGACTCAGGGCCCATTCGGGCTCGAGCAAGCTCTATGAGCTGCTCTTTAATCTATGAGCTCAGTATCACTGGAGCATAATATTGTTAGCCATACTCAATTCAAGCATCATCAAACCATCTTTTTCTGGTGGCTGATGATTAATGTCTGGCAGCTCCACTTTATAACACTAAAATTAAGGTGACTTTGAAAAACATTGAACTTGAAGCTCTGACAATCAACATGATTGCACTCAGGTTAAACTTAAAAAACAGCAACAAGTTTTTTTTAAAGTTTGTCTGAAGTTATATGAAGGTGTGACTTAGCAAGCTCAGGAATAATCTACAAAAGGTGATGATTTATCAATAAAACATATTCCTTTTACCAGTCTTTAGACATGTCATAGAAAGATCATTAGTAAAATCCCACTAGTGGTCTATTATCAGTGCTGCGTTCTGATTGGTTGAGCTACTACTAAGCTATATGTTATAGCCTACTAGTAGCGAAAAGTGCGGGCTTTTTGGCGGCAAAAAAGGATTAAAGTCTAGCTTTAACTAGCCAAAATTTTTTTATTCTCAATATTTTTGACCAACTAGTTGGATTTTACTAAAGCAATAATTACTCCTCTCGCCCCTCATGGCCTCTGAGTCAATATCCCATTCGGCCTTCGGCCTCATGGGCTATTGACTCAGAGCCCATTCAGGCTCGAGCAATAATTGTTAAAAAGCCTTTGATCACAAGGTACTTGGGTCCTAGCTAACTAGAGTTGTCATGAATCATTTTCCCAGCCTTGTTAAAAAAAGATTGGCCTTTGAGGTCCTCCCAACCCCTCCTCAAATGAAGCATGAATCTAATTTATAAATGAAATAAGAAAAATAATTTTAAATGAATGAGTATGTGATTGTTATGATTCCCCATTCAGTGATTTGTCTGTTATAAAAACTTGCAAAGAATCACTGGCAGATTACGTTGGCTTTGTTGATAAAAAAAGGCTTAACGTTAATAAAAGTCGGATCCGTTTTGCTGAGGCAGCGAATAAAACCTTCTTGCCTAGTTTAAACTTCACAAAACAAGGGTTCTTTCTCAAGGTGGGTGCTGCAAATAATTTAACTCGCTTCCCACCATCTGAACGCCTGGAACAGGCTAGAAATAATCAAATCAAATCAAAGCTTCTACACTGTATAAAGAGAGCTTTTATTGAACGTATCATAACTCGATTATTAGAACTAAGATTTAGAAAATTTACTATGACTGATACTAACTGATAAATAAATTAATATTTAGTACAGAGGATTTTAGACAAAATACTAAAACATGATAGAGAAAATGAATGATTTAGGTACTATGATAAACTTACCTTGGAAGTGACATCAAAACCAGTAACAAAACCCCCGGACTTGTTTTCATATCGCCTTTCCTGGGGTGCAAAATACAACAAAAAACCTTGAATGTTGAAGCAAATGCTGAAGACAAGTTCTGGAGTGCATTGCCTCTTAATTACCATGTTAAAAGGGAAATCTTTCTCGTCTTTTTCCCCATCGTCAACGGGAATTTCGACTTTCAATTCTTCGAACTCCATCTTGGAAACAAGTAGTGCTTAGTCTCCCTGGGTCGGATGGGGTCGTCGAGTAAGAGCTATGGGTCCGCGAGTTTTGTGCACACTTTTATCAGGTCTCATAACAATAACGTTTTTGTTGGACACGGGTGTAGGAGATTGAGGTAAATTGTGATTTCAGAATTACATAAAACTTTTTGCGTTTATTCGAGCAGATATGATGCGCAAAAAAATCAGGGAAGCGTTGTTATAAACTACCAAATATTATTCATAGTAATGCAATCATTATATTTTGCACTTCTATGGCTGAATGTTTATAAGACTGCATTATTTTAGCAATATTTCTGATCTCTGATCAATCCTCCTAAACATGCTGCCATTCATTTATAAAAAAAAAAGACGAAATATGGAGTTCTAAATTTATTTGACCGATGTATATTGAAGATCTTAATTATTATGCCATCATCTCTTTCGAATAGGCCATTTCCGAGTTCCCCCGGGCCTCTGTTTCAAAACGCGGGTAGGTGCTCAGCCTTTGATATGGAAATCACTTTTCATTCTCATGCAAATAAAACTCATTTTCACAAGAAAGGTTGTGCACGTAGCCTCATTGTGAAAGTGAGGCCTATCACGGGGAAGTAAAATACATTCGTTGGAGGGTACCAAAAAGTTTTTTTATTGAACGATCTTCAATATTCCATATGCGGATTAAAAACTTAAACAACAAAAAACATGCAAATGAAGTGTCCAGACATATAACTCTATACAATCAGTTTTCTTACATTTTCCTTGTATTATACTTCAAATGACCTTTTTTGGGGCTCACTATTCCTACAAACAGTAAATACCTACAATTCATTGATGATGGAATACTTTAAAATAATGTTACAGTATGGTACAATGCTAATAAATAACAAAATAAAGGTATTTTGAGACAAAAAAGCTATTTCAGAATTTTAAAATTCTTATGTGAAGCATTTTAATTTGGTTTGTTACATATAACTGAGAAACCCTAGATTTCTCTTAAAATATTATTGTCCAAGGAATTTCTTTGGAAATAAAATTCAAATTGCATTCCTTTCTTTTAAAAAATGTAAAATTATTTGCAGCTATGGTTTCCCTGTAGATGATCACTACCAAAAACTTAACAAAAACAAGAATACAATGAAAGCAGTTTCAAAATATCACTTAGGCTGACGCGTCAGGCACACAAAAAGAGAGAATTGTACAGAGGTAACCATAGCTACAAGCACAATCTCCCTCTCTTCTTCTCGAGCCATTTTTTTTAAATTGGAATTTTAACAAAAGGGTTTGGGACACTGAACACCAAAATATTGCAAAGTTCACAACCCAAAAATTTATTATCTTAAGAAGGGGCTTTAAACGGAAAGCCAAAAACTAGTAACTGAATGCTATGGATATAAACTATTACAGAACACTTCAAACTCTCTTGGGAGCTTTGCCTCATAACTCTTAGGATGATAATTAAAAAACAGACTTCAAGTTGAAAAATTTTTTAAAAAGCACTGCCAACTCCTCAAAACAAATATACCAGATGCATACAGTATTATTATTATTCGTTTTAAATAATTGTTATTAAGTGTTAAGCTTTAAAAACATGTACTATCCTAGATATATGTTGGCGGCATATTGGACAATCTGTGATCTGCTTGCCACATTTTGTACAAGTGACCATGTGCCCACATTCAAGTAATACACAGTCTATAGTGGCATCCATACATATTTTACACTGTTCTTCAGAATCCTCTTCTTCATCAGGAGCCATTGAGCCTGCAAACAGTTTTTTTGTAGAGTGTTAGCAACAAAGTTATATTAATTTGGGTAAACAAAGGATGTGCTGAGAAACATTTTTTTTTTCAGTCTGTGAAACAGCTGGCTTGGAAGAAAATATCCGAGTACTCATGGGAAAAATAGAGAGACAAAATGGCTACATTTCCTCAAGCACAAAAACATGTGGGGGAAATTGTGAAATCTCGAAGTGTTTTACAAGAAAACAAGTCTGGTGACCTCTATTTTTAATGTTTTAATAATCTGATAAAGTTGAAAGAAAATGCCAGAGAAAAAATGGAAAAATTTTAAGGAGGAAATTTCTACTGAATAAAAATGTCGTATTTTCCACTTTCGTAAAAAAACGTGCTTGCATAATTTTTTTAAAATCACTGTGTAGTTTCCTTTTGTAATGCCAAAAGTTGTCGTCCAAAAAAAGTAGGGGTCACCGGCTTAGTTTTCTAGTTATCAGTGCTGGAAGCTAAAAAGTAGTTCCAAGTAATCCTTAAGATATGTTGCCTTGGTAACTGCTAATGACAAAATAATGGTTGTTTTAAGTCAAGCAAATTTGTATAATCCAACTCTACGAAAGTGCTGTTATGGCTTTGGCTTGCTTTTTTATTTTGTACTTTTAAAGTTAAAATGTCAAAAAAGAGGAAAACTGGTACGAGCCACCTTAATTGGGTTGAATTTGGAGAAAATGTTACGGCTTACTTTCCCCAGTAACCTGCGTAGCAAAATTTTCCGTGTGAAATAAAACTTTCTAGTCATCCAGATTTCTTGAACCCTCGCTAAATAATTAGATGACTCCTAACTTGAATGTTGAGCTTACTCAAGTTGACTTCCCCTGAAATTCCTTCAAACAGTTATTGTAATTTTACCCTCGCCAACTCGAAGTAATTTTCGTTTCCCTTCAGATCACTACTCTATAATTTTGCCCTCGATAAATCCAAACCATGTTTTAAGCGCGTAACTAGTCTAAAAAATACAGTGTACTGAAGTCCGAAACATTAAACTTATTTCAAAACAACAGTCAGTGTGGCAAGTAACATACGTCCAAGTTTACATGTAAAATAGCGCATTGTAATTTGAAACCCCACTTCAGCCAACAGCCAAGGAATTTTAATACATAACATGGATTGTTGATTTACAAAACATGACGTTCCTAGTAAGAGAAAGCGTATAGTAAGTTGTTTTCTTTTTCACCGCGAAAAGACGTTTTTCCACAAAGTCGGTTTCTAATTTTACATCAGCCATATTTGCTGTTGTGAAGAAATACTCACAAGTTGCGTGGATTTTTACAAGCAAAATCAGTCACCTTAAAAATACACGGAAATTTGTGTTGAAGAGTTCGTGTAGAAATTTACACGTGAGTTTTTTGCCTGGAAATCTGCCATGCTGCACGCAATTTACGCAAGTATGAGTGCTATAATGCCCGTGGCCTGTACTGTAATTGAAAATGTTGTCCACTTCCATTGCATTCCCACAATAATTGTTGCTGAACCTTCTTCTCAAGGAATGGAAGTTCAATAAAATCTCTCATCAGCCTTGACCCACCATGATAATCACCAACCAACCAGAAGGGTATCAAATTTCGCAACCCAATTTCAACGACTGATTTCAAATTCCTACCACCCTGGATATATAGCTAATTCAATAAAGGTTGCTCTGGGCACTGGGAATTGCCAGCTGGGTATTGGGCATTTGGGCATACCAAACAAAGCAATAATTTGCCTGAGTGATCACCAAAGAATAGCTTCCTATTGCCCAATTCCCAATGCCCAAAGCAACCTTTATTGAACAAGCTGGAAATGCTAGCCTGGTGGGGGTAGGGAGCATGTCCGTTAGTCTATTTGATCAATACAATTTATCATGATACTTTTAAAATTAATACAGTAATTTTGTCGGCCTCCCTGACGCATAAAAATTCCCAAAGACGTAAAATAATTCATGGTATGCATTCCGTAGGATGCAAAGAATGTTCAGTTGATTCTAAGATTTTTTGGTAGAATATCCTGTTTGTGTGATTTCTATGGCTGTTGATAAAGATGCATATTTGTTTTAGTCTTTTTTGTGCTTTAGATATATCTAGAAGGGAAGGACTATAAACTGTAATAAAGACTTTTGGCGTCTGTCTCCAGATTAATTGTCTGGTTACATAAAAGCCCAAGCATTGTACTGGGACTCATTGGTTATGGACAGGGACGCATGATTTTTCTACAAAATGAGTCCTGGGACTCACCATAACTATTTGTGACAAAATCCCTGTTAATAATGCCAAAACCCAGGACTTACTTTTCTTTTTGTTCACCTCCTGTTTGGATTTCCAAAGAGTCCTGACCCGATCTAAGAGTTCTTTCTTTTCACAGCATCCCTTGAAGTCCACAAAGTTAGCAGAAAGAATACACTTCAGCTCTTTCACTGAGAGATCTTCTACTTCGTCAATGTTTTGAATCTGACTTAGACTCTTGCATACAGAGGATGGGGGAGCTGATGGACGCACCTGAAAACAAGAAGACAAAGTAGACTCTAAGTGGCATGGCCTATCACTTTACAAGACTTCACATTACACAGGGTTACATGGATAATGGTGAGAGCACAAATGGATCAATAATGATAGTTAGAGCTATACTTTTTGCGAAAGTCTATACAGTGGAAGCTCACCTAACAGACACTCTCGTAAGCAGAAAGCTCTACTTATGGCCACCTTCACAAAATGCTGTTTTTCTCCACTCCCATACAAACTACGTATTTTTACATTCCTGTAAGCGGCCAGCTGCAGTTACGGCAGGGCTCGAAATTGCGACTGATACGGTCGCCAATGCGACTAACATTTTCTCCTTGGCGACTAAAAATTCTGGTTTAGTCGCCAAAGTGGCGACCAGATTTTAGAAGAGTAAAATTAAAACAAACATTTCATCTTATCTTGCTTTGCTTTCATCATGAAAAATGTGCCAAATTGCATAAACAAAGCCAGTTTACCTCCAAATTTATACCGACTTCATGATATTTTCAAATCTGATGGATTGCGCCATACTATGCTGGGCTTCTGATAGGTAGCCGAAAAAAGTCAAATTTCGCAGGATTTTTAGGGGCAAATTCACGGAAAAATCGGCCGATTTTGCAGCACTTTCGCGGGAATGTTTGGGGCAAACTTCGCCGAAAATCAATCGGTAAAAAAGGCCGATTTTGTGGTTATTTTTTAGGGAAAATTTTGTCAGATATCCATCGGTTTTGCGCCGATCAGACCAGCGTTTTTAACGTTTTTCTAACAGACGTCATCATTTGCTCTTTCAACAACAAAACGCTCCAGAAATGAACCAATGGCAAAGCCTTTAACATCATGGCTAGTGCCCAGTTTTTCGCAACACAATCTACGCCTGGTAGTTTCGGGACGTTATTTGCACGTTTCAGTGACGAAGTATCAAGATAAATTTGCAAGGTTACGGCAAGTAAATAGCCCCAATAGCTGAGATAAGTTTCAAATATGTTGTATTTGATACGATTTCTACTGAATTTCGCGGTATTTCGCATGTTTTTGTGAATTTCGCGGCTCTGCTCCTGCTCGAAGTATCAGAAGCTCTGTACCTATGAGCTGCGTCATTTACATTTTACAAACTGGCGACTAAAAATTTGCATCTGGCGACTATAATTCTCCGGTTGGTCGCCAAAAGGCGACCTGAAGATTTTTTTAATTTCGAGCCCTGTACGGACACCTTTTTCGCATCCCGAGGGTGTCCGCTTATGAGAGCTTTCACTGTACTTAATGTATAAATTGGACTTGTGTGTTGCAGCGTGCAAAGAAAGTGCTAGTGCCAGGGCTAGTGGATTTTGCAATCGGGCTAGTGAATCCTGTTCTTACCTTGCCCAAAGGGCAAGTGAAGTTTTTTTGGGAAATTCAAATTACAGAAGAACTATAACCAATGCTGCTCATCAAAAAAATTTTGGCGGTACTTAAAAGACTCTTGCCTGAATGGCAAGCCGTAAATCTCACTTTCTTTGCACCCTGGTGTTGTCTCCTATTTCAGCTGCAACTAACGCTGCACACCTGAGAAAAACTTTAGTCAAAGGTGGTACAAAGCCTTAGATTAACAACAAAAATTTTATGACTACCTGCACAGGCTGAACATTTGGCTGTGGTCGAGCGGTTGAGCTCCCTTGTTGCCCAGCTGTCCTCTGTGATTGAGTGTTTGTTTGACTGTGGTGTCGTCCTTGCTGAGAGGGTGGCATAGACGGAGGAATGTTTGACCCTTCTTCAGCATGCCGCAAAATTAACTCTACAAGATCCCTTTTCTCTTTACATTGGTTCATGGAGATCTGTCTTGCTCTCAAATATTCTTGAAGATCTTTTACTTTCAGCCTCTTCAAGTGATCCCTGTAGGCAATAGGATACTGCAGAGCTCTGCATTTCAAGCAATTTCTGATGTTCTCTCCAGGAACCAATTTTGTTTCTTTGGCAAAGCAGTCATTGCAGTAATGTCTTTTGCAATTCCCACATAAATACTGGAATAAAAACATACAGAAACACTACATAACCATATTGATAACTTATTATTGTTACCTACAGTGCATCTGATACTGCGTTACCCATTCCTTAATGTCTCATAACATTAAATATTATATTAGTGCGAACAAGGTTGATCAACGTCAAAACGCTCTTTCTCCAATGCTGTGCTTTCCTTGCAATTTTCACTTAATAGAAGGTTGAATTGTGCATAGTTAGGTTAAGAGAGTGTTAGAAGGTCCAACCGCGCAAGATCAGATAGTGCTCTATGCATTTTATTCAGCTACATACATGCAGCATCTGTGTATAATAGCAACCTGGACTAGATTGTTCAAAGCTGGGTTAAAATAACCAAGGGTTAGTGCAAGATTTGAATTTGGATTTGAAAACTTAAAAAGTATTTCAGTTTTAATTCTTTCTGTCTACATGTTGATGTTTGGAAGCTCTAAACATAACAAAGAAAATTATCCTAGAAAATACTTTTGAACACAAGAAAAAGAAACGCGGATTAAATTTAACCCCGGGTTAAGTGCTAATCGGCCTTCGAACAACTGGGCCCTGGAGGTTAGGATTGCTGATTCCTGTGGTCACCCACAATTAAATAATTATTTCTTTATGCATGTGTATTTGGGGATGCAATGTGGCCAAGTGTTCAGTGCTTTGGACTGCAATCCTGCCAGTCCTGAGTTCAGATCCCACAAAAAATTATTAATAGCAAGACAAAGGCCGCATTTATACTAGAGGACATCTTAAACATATGGACAATTATTAAACATTTCACTGCTCTAGGTTATTTCCAGCACAGTAGAACCCCGGTAACTCCAACTCTGAAGGGAGACAAAAAAACAGTTAGAGTTATCAGGGGTTAAGTTATTGGGGTCCATTGCAAAATTCAATTTGCCATGTTAAAAAATTGATAGTTACTGATTTTTCAGCACTTCAGTGTATAGTGCAGTACAACTTAACTTATTTCATCAGAAATGGCAACATGACTAAGCATTATTTATGATAAAACGTGATCGGTTCATTGCACAAATTAGAATCAAAAATTGTGTAATGTAAGCCCATGTTAGTTTTAGTGTTTTACCCTCACACAACAAGAAGAGCTAATGGGATGGCATCCAAGTGGAATTTAAGGAACCAGAATTTGAGTTATCAGGGCAAAATTCAGTGAATTTTTGATCAAGGGAAAGGATATTTTGTTTGACTTAGCAGGGAATTCAAGTTTGAAATAACTGAGTAAAAATGATTGAAAAGACGGGTGAAATCCAAGGGAAATTGGACTTAGTTTGATTTAGTGAGGAGTTAGCAATATTGGGGTCTTAATGTATATATACTGAGAATTTCCTCTAGCACAAAAAACAGCCAATATCAAACATACGTTGTTATTTATCATTACTCACTTATTTATTTTTCGCACTGCAGTGTTAGTCATACATTGCTTCGTGAGCACAAGAAAGAAACTTCAAAATTTTGATCAAGACAAAAAATTGCCACTGTTGCCTCTAATGCTGGGTACAAAATTAAAAAAAAAAGGATACTAGGAAATGAATGAAAGTATGAATTAATACACTTTTTTTCCTCCACAAGGTTGTTATTGTATAAAAATAACATCACATACACACCCAATATCAAGCTCAATAAAAGAAAAAGATATAGAGCAAACTTCGCTCTTTTGGACGCAAAACAGTGATATACAAAGATTAATTAAAATCGTTTGTTTGTTTGTGTTTAAATTAACTTCAGGACTGTTATTCCTTGTTAGCTCAACTTTCTTTCCTCTCCAATCAAAGACAACAGATCAGTAACGATAAGAACTCTAAACAAACAAATAGATTGGACTGTTACGTTGGATGACGAAACATTAAATAATTGACACGTTTGTGAACAATTTTACTTAAGCTTATTGATAAAGATATTTAAAAAATGAATTCAAGCCTCTGCATCTTGTGATTTAACTAGCACACCTAGAAGATTGTTATCAACCTATCATTTTTAACTGGACGCATAATAAGATTAAAAACATAAAAAAGGATAAAATTACTGTAAGAATTTTCCAACCAACATCTACTTTGACAAGATGATATGCGTCAAAGTGTATGAACTCTGTGGAATACTGCATTGTTCGTCTGTGAGAGATCATATGGGTCGTACCATCTCATTTTCTCACGAAAATAAGTCACCTTAAATTCCCCAAATCTTTAACTTAATGTTATTACCTTTCTCTTAAAGATCGTAAAGTTGGTGTTGCAGCTAAAACACGTCATCTCCTCGATATCATTGACCGGAAAATTAAGACTACTTGTGGAAGGTTGACTCGTCCGGTTGGAAAAGGATTGTGTAAATGATGCACTTTGGCCGTTTGCTACATTAAAATGCGTCCTCAATATCGCGTCAACGTGCTCTGAATGTTCTCTTAGCTCCCCACTGACACCACCAGCGCCCATAACAGGCGATAAAGAAAAGCTCAAAGACTGTTTTGCTCAATTTTATAACGCAGCAATTTTTAGGTTAAATGAAGCGAGAATAGAGAAGGACGAATCACGCAAAGTGGGCTGGGACGAAGTGACATGACGTCATGACATGAAAACGAGGCAGCAGCGTAGCGTGGCTTTAGCACTCCATTTCTTGTCGATCGATCACGTTTTTATCAGTGTTTGACGAATTGTACCTTCCAGTTTTGGCCTTATTAACAGGAACTCTAACAGTGGGAAGAATTTGCAATGGCTGATCAAGGCTGTAAGTATAGTTTGGTGTTACAAAAAGTGCTGCTTTTGAAAAAACCTCATTGAATCCTGGTTTGACAAGCGATTGCCAATCCTGTCGATTGTGAAATTCAGCTTTAAGCTTACAGTAAGCGTTTACAGCTTTTGATACTTACCTTAATTACTTTCTCAGCAAAAGCTTTATTTTTGTTTATAAGATAGAGGCACTTTCTTAAGCGACCTCTTTTTAAATAACCCGATGTAAGGTCTTACAAAGTGGAATTGAAGTGAATGTGCATGCATGCATAGCGGATGGTGGCCGTAGCTCAGGGTGGAAGACTTATCAAAGTAATAGGTTCTGCTCGTTTGTTGCTGTATAGGTAAGATTTCGGATTATGGAGTCAAATTATCGGCTGGTGAGGCAAAGCAGCTCTCGTTGTTCCAATCCTCAGTATCTGATTATGTTTTCAGTGCAGTGCCCCCCATTCCATATCTTTGGTCACAGCAGCGGGGGATGGGGAAGGGAAAGTAGGTGAGAGTTTACTCTGGATGCCAAGGTTGTGCTTTAAGGAAAATTGCAGGGAGCCTATTGCTCTGACACTGTAAAATCTAGGGTGCCCAGCATATGATTGTATTTAAAAAAAATATGATTTTCTAGTCGCCCAACAGCAAAAGTTAGGCGTCAAGGGCCACCGGGCTCTGCTAGAGCACAGTCCTGGATGCCCTTAACGTAACACCCGTTATCAGAAAACTAGACACATACAAATTGATTCAGCTGTGTTCCCAGCACATTTTGTTAATTGAATACTCTTCCAGAAAGAGCCATCTGTTGTCCTGCTATCTGTCTGGGTTCCTGAACTATTTGTGAACTGACCAAAACCGGCTATTCAAATTTCCTCCCAAAGAAGAGAATTTGAAGTAAATAAACATGTATCCATTGTTCTTCAGTCAACAGTCAATCATATTACAAGTATGTACTGCACATAAGTTTCTCGAGGCAGGATCGATATAGAGATGTAAAATTTGATGCGTGGGAACAACTTAACTTCCTCATGTCAAGCAGTCAAGGGAAACTTACCGTTAATATTATTGTCTAGGACGTCTGGTTACATTGTTAAGAAAGAAACCTCTGATGCTAGAATCTCAGCCAATGAAACTGAATCATGGATGGCATACACATGCATTGTTGAGTGCCCATGGTTTTTGATGGTTTTCCTCACAGTATTTGTCGTTTGATGTTATTAAAATCCTTGCAAAATGCCGTGGGTTAAAAAATCACAAAATCTAAGTATTTGAATAGTTTGCTTGTGTAAATAAGAGTTGGCCACTCCATGCTTAACTCATTTCCTCCTGTTCAAAAATCTGCAAATTTCACCTTGTTCAGGTAAAAAAAAAATCATATCCCAGCAGGTTTTTAGAGCAGCAGAGAAAGCTATACCTCTTTTGAAAGGGCAGGAAATGTACTTTCCAGAAAAAATGTTTCACTTTATAGCAACCCATAATGTATTTATATTTGTATTTGGAATCATTTAAATTGAAAAAGCGATTTTTACAATTGAGTAATGTTTGGCTTGGTGGAAAAGCTTAAAAGAGAAGTTTTTCATTGATGTCTGAGCAACACATTCTCCACATTTGCTGTAGACACATAGAATTTACTAAAAAAAAATTGCAATGCCAGTGCTTGACACTAACTTTTTGACACTAGGCAATGGGCTACTACATGGAAGTGAAATAACTCACCAGCCCATAAGGACAAGCCACTGGTCCAAAAAAGCGTAGAAAAAAAAATATTGGGGGGGATTGGGACCACTCTTCTCCTTCTTTTACTGAGTCAATACTAGATATAGATATTATAAAATAAAAAGGAATGAACACTTGCACTACTAGCTTTGTTTGTCTTCACTTCTTTAATACAGTTAATACCTGATTATATGAAAGTTCAACTTAAACTACCAGAGGCAAATGACATCAACAGTCGTTCAATTAATGTTGCTCTGTTTCTTGTCAGTCTGGGGTTCAACAGGCAATGTTTTGGGTTGAAACATTTAAAAAAGTCAGGTAAAAAACTGTCATGAATCGTTAAATATCAGGCTCAAATGGAAATTGTCTGTTCCTGTGGCCAAACCTGCGTTCAATTTGCATACAAGTGCCACGGTACATTTTACCTTCAATTAATCACAGCCAAGAATGTTTTTTGTTCCTTCAACTTAGTTAAAACAGTTGGGTGTACAGAGTACAATAGGAATCAATGAACTTTTGCAGTTTTCTTTCTTTTCATGCTGTGTGTGGTCCTGACTTTGTAAATGAGG